TTAAAATATCGAAAAATATACAGCGCGCGAATTTTAAATGAGAATTTCCGAAAGCTTTTCGGTCACAATGTATGTATAAACTGTATAAAACTTGATAGAATAAACTGTTTGCTTTGTTCTCTATTAATTGGGATTTAATAAATTTAATTTGATGGGTCTGTAAAACTCAAAGTTAACTTTCTCTATTCAGCTAACAGATGGCAATGGGAGATGAACACATTTTTCCAATTATCCGCAAATGCTTTCGTTAATTGCTCAAAAGAATAAAATGAAGCTGCAGATATGACATTAAAATTTCATTTAAAATGTGATGCCCTCTTTTATTAACTTTCCTTTAAAGGCATTTCAGCAGACACAAAAATATTTATTTTAATTTAAATGTAACAATAAAACAATGAAAGGAAAATCAAGATTTTATGCCCTTTTACGACTTTAATTACAAAAGTAGTAATGCAACCGAAAAAGCAAAGTAATTCGTTTTTAATGAATTACTAAAAAAGAAGGAAAACACGCGTAATTAAGGCGAGTTTAATAAAAAAAAGGCAACATTAAAAAGGGTCTAATTAAAAGCGCGCAATCATAAAATATGTAAAGAAGGACACACACACACGCATACAAATCCTTGAAAAAGCGCGTGTTTATATACGAATAAGGCGATATACTTATATGAGGCGAATTTGCAGTATGCAAATTTATAGCACACCAACAAACACACGCATAAACAAAATCACCCAGCATAATGTTGTGTACATATGCAATTAAAAATTAAAAATATGCTACATAAAGCGCAAGTAATCAAAATGTTAAAACACTTTACAGCGCAATATGAGCGCTGTAAAGTGTGTTTGTGTGTGTGTGAGAAAATCGTAAATTTTTACTATTAAATTTAATTTTTTAATACTAATTAACGTTCAGTTGTTTACATGTGTGGGTGTGTGTGTTTAATAACTTGGGTGGACTTATCATGGCAGCTTCTCTTTTTTCATTCGATTTGTAAATTTTTCTCTTAAAAATGCGTTAAAAACGCAGTTGTTCAAGACCGGCATGTGGAAATATTGACTCTTACTCATTCGGTGAAGGTGAAAAAAGAAAATGGAAAGGAGGTAAATTTTATAACAATCCGGCAAGCATTGTTATAGCGCTTTATAATTTTTGTAAATGAATAGATAATTAAAAATTATTTGGAACTCTCACGCATTGTTAAAACTTTGGGTAAACCATTACAGCACCTAAATCATATGTACCTAAATAGGAGGGTCACTATTTATATTTTGAGCCTATAATGAAAAACTACTAACTTGTCGTTGAAAATTGCTTTATTGTTACTCGAGGTATTCTCCTTTATGGTTAATACACCTTTGCATGCTCATTTTTTCTAATCCTCTTCAGACACCGACAAAAAATGGTATTTAAATGCAACAACGATTTTTTCCACTGATAAAAATCATTGTCGATGCTCAATTTATTCTTGACGTTCGAGAACAAGAAGAAATCATTGAATGATTGGGTGTCAAATCAGGAATTTACGGCGGCTGACCCATCAATTCGATTTTTTTAAAGTTTAAATAATCGGTTGTTAGACGAAATGTTTGAGCACTCGCATTGTCTTGATGAAGATGGAGAATGATCCGACGGCGCTTGTTTTTTTTTCGTCACTGGAAATAATTGAAGACTTCCGGTAAACAAATAGTTGTATTTGTATACCATTTGGAATTGATCATTTTACGTTCCTGTAATGATTTACTCGTAGTTGCCACATTACCAGTTTTCACGAAAAAACAAGCCACCATTTGTTTCGAAGTGCTTCGAGCGTGAACAACTTTCGTGGGATTTGGTTCATCTTGAAACATCCATACAGTCGACTGCTGATTTATATATACTCATACATCCATGATTCGTCACCTGTTACAATCTTATAGAAGAGTTCATCTTTTGAAACACCGCCATTGTACTTCTTGAGCATTTGTGTGCACCAATCGATACGAAAATCTTTTTGAGATTTTGTCAAATGATGGGGAATCCAACAAAAATTAACCTTTCTCATGCAATAGCTTATATATGCTGGTGGAACTAATAAACTAATGCCTAGGGTTCCCTCAATCTCAAAGTAAGAGTATGTCGCATGACGATCTTGTATTACTCGTATCACTTTTTGCACAGCATGAACTGCGGGCACAATTAAAATCATTGTATCAGTGGCAGTGTTCCACAGTGGCAAAGGATGGGGTTTCATCGCCAAATGTGGAAGTAAGTTGATCGATGCACTCTTGCCTTGATATTGATAGTCCACGTCGAATAAATCATCGTAATAAATCATCGCACGAAAATTTTCTCGCGTTAATTCCATTTTCACAGTAAATCACTGTAAATAACACAAATAGTCGCGACGTTTTATTGACAAAAAGTCTAAGGTACGTTATGTTTAATAAACTTTCGTATGGAGGCTTCAAGTTAGGGAATTATTTTTTTTATTTTAAAAGAAACTAGGATTACATTGTAACATATTTGTTTATTTACTGGCTGATTCGGCGAACTTCGTGTCATTCACTCGTTTCTAATAATCGAGCAAGAGCAATGCGAACTCGAACTCTTTCTTGCCTCTGCTTACTCGTTTCTAATGTGTGAACTCGATCTCTTTCTTGTCTAGTTTTTCTCTGCTCACTTGTTTCTGAAACTCGTTCTTCTCTTCTCCTTTTTGCTTGATTTGTAGGTCGACCAATGGCACTTCGCTTTGATAGCGTAATTGTGGTGTTAAATATAACGTATTTCCCTCTGATTTTAATAAATTAAATTTTATAAATTATTCTATTTCACTTAATAAATTTACTCAAAACTAAACTAAAACACACACTGTACGAATGTAAGAACCAAGCTGACTTTTCACAATCTAACAATCTAGGATTATTAGATTGTTTTAAATGATATTGGAAATTATATTACAGAATATACTTTTACCAAAATATTACTAATTAAATGAACCTAGAACTCCAACTCTGGTTTTAATAAAAATTTGCAAAAACCTTCCCAGGGATATACCTAATAATTTCCCAAATTTTCACGGTGATTGGATGTATGGTTTTTGAATCCATCGAGTACAGACAGACAGACAGACAACATTTATTTTTATAAATATAGATTTGAAATCAAATACAACATAGAAATTATAGTAAAGTAAAATATGCAGAAATTAGGGTTTGGGATTTTAATTTTTATCAGTAAATGGTTATCTCAGTTCCATTTAGTTTAGAAAAAGGGATGTCTCATTAACACCAAAATTGATTCATACCTAAAACAAAAATTTGACTTATAGAATGCACTTTCCCATATTCGTTTTAGCACGTGACAACATTTTTATTCGATTAGTAGAGAATTTCGAGTTGTAGAAGTTCGAGTTATGGAAGCAGAATTGATGTAATTTGCGCTTTAAAACCCTGTTTCACTTTTTTTAGTTCTACTCTTAGAAAATTCGAGTTATAGAAGTTCGAGTTATGGAAGTTTGACTGTACTACTATTTTTATTGTTATTGTTATTATTGTTGTTATTTATTTGTTAACAATGTTAACAATATTATTAAATCATAAAAAAATCTTTTAGATACTCCTGAAGATGTTGGAAAAAAATCAACGAAACGAAACATCGGAGGAAAAAATGAAGTAAATTAAAATTTATTTGCATCCTAGTCATAAGACCAGAGTGGCCTAAACAAAAATGATAATTTAAAAAAATACAACCTCATTATTAATGAAATTTTTGTGCTTTCTGGAATGTGAAAATTTTTAATTTTAATAAAATTAAAAATATATGTAAAAAAATTAAAATGGGCTTCCATTCAAATAACTGGTTTATCACTTTAAGAACCCTAACCTGAAAATTATTGCAAGGATACTGAAGTGTTAGTGAAACTGAAATGTTCTTGAGTAGTTAAACCATGTTTGGAAAAGTGGGAGTGGAAAGGTTGGGTAGATTTCATTCCTTTCATTCCCTTCATTACTTTTATTAGTTGTTTGTGATCTCAAATTTATGCATTAGAAAAAATTAGATTTTTAAAGAAAATGCATCAACACGTTCACCTGAAAGTGTTTTTACTAAAATTTTATGGCTCTTAGCATTGAATAAACCAAACTCTTATGCCATTCTAGGAAACGTGAACTTAAACTTGCTTCAGAAATTTTAGTTTCACCTTGAGTTTTAGAAAATTGTTGAGTAAATTAGTTGGCAAAAAGAAAATGAAGAGAATTTTAATTGAAGTGCATAAGAATCATTTTACTATCAGAAATTTTATGTTATATATGCAATAAAATATATAAAACCCAATTTTATATTTCATTACTCAAATCATGTTGAGTTTTACTAACTTCACAAGGACTCATGCAAATTGAAAAAGGTTATATTCGAAAAATATGTATTTTTGAAAAATGTGTACTTAGAAGATTAGTTGTGTTTTATGCAGAAAACTACCTATACAAAAATTTATATAAAATAATTAAATATATATTTTTTGTTGTGCTTATTGTGTTAACTAATATTTGGTATATAAGTTCCATTAGGCAAAGAATTCAATTCAATCTTTTCTTCTTTCTGGCTGGCCATTGCCACTTTCACAATATTTTTTCTTTCTTAAACACAAACAATTTCGCTTAAAGCACTGCATTTTCATAGTCAGTTTATCTTGAATTAGTGCCGTTATTTGTGTCCTTGAGGCTTAGTACTGCTCCTTGTATTTCTGTTCTGTTTTGGAAACCATTGTTTCACCTGAACACAATTAAATTTGCATTTTGAGCATGTTCCTACGAGGCCCAACATTTTAGCTGATTAACATTCACACCGCACCGTTCCTGGCCATAGTCGAAGCTATGAATTTGTATGCAATTTCCAGTGACGCTTCCTTTCCGGGCGCATAATCCTCGCATACACTTTAGAAACAAAGGAACTGGAGAATGTTTGATTTTTTTTTGAAAGGATATCTTTAGATGGAGATATACGCGCCCAAGAAGTACAAAAAGGATACATGTTTTTTCGAGTTATGCTAATTCTATTTGTATTGTTGTTAATTAGCAAAACTATTTTAAGTAAACTTTTATTCTAAATCAAATTTAGAAAAAAATTATTAAAAAAATTAAAAAATTACTTATGAAAATTGAAGAAACCTACAATTTATTGTTTTATGACCAAATATCAATTATATATTTTTTATAATTAATTTAGGTTATTTAATATTTAACATTGTCCAAAAAACCTGAGACATTTTTATCGATATTTTTATCACAATAAGTGGCCTACATACCTTGGAACATTGTAACGTAAACGTTTGTAAAGTATTGAGTTTAAACCAAATATTGGTAAAGATAGAATATCTGATTTATTTATAATATATAATCATACGACAATTTTAATTAAACAAACCCTAAGTCATTGCTTATGTAGTATTATTTCATATCCATTTAATGTGAAAAGCACTTATTTTTTTTTTATTAATACAACTAACAAGCATTTTTGGTTTGAAAAATCATAAATATTTACGTTAAGGTAAAGGTATTTCATAAAGGTAAGGTATTTTACTACTTAGTGAGGTCAAAGGGAATTATATGTTTTAATCTCTGTGCTGAGTCATTTGTGCTGACTAAATATAAAGATCCTGCATTTTTTTATATTTTGTGTAATTTTCGTTGCGTGAGAAACAGCATACGTTTTTATAACGACCTAAACGGGTTTGATTACCGGATCAAGATGTAGGTCTGCACTAAGAATATATCAGGATAATATTTCTTAGTACTTTTGTGTCGATAACACTGAATGCCTGCCAATTAGCCATTTTATCTACTTAAAATTTAGCTCAAGTTCTTCTTTATTGTTTTTCACATGCTCTTTTTAACATAGTTTAGCATCTAGCGTCATGACTAAGTATTTCGCAGTATTCGCATAGGGTATTTCCAGTCCATTTATATTTAATTTGCAGTGGGAGAGCCTTTTTTTTCGTTAAGTCAACATGTACCGATTTAGTATTGTTAAGTTTAAGTAACCATAGTTTCGTCTACTTATGAACATAATTAATGGCCAGCTGAAATGTTTTAGTTGCTTCCAATTTCATTAGAACCAATTGAACCAATTTTATAATTTCTATTACAAGGATATCATTAGTAAACAAAAGGAGTTTGAAACCAAGTACGCTTAAGTGGAATGCATTTAAAAGAGAAAAAAACGTGGTCTATGTAATGGCTACTTATAACCTTGTCAACAATATTGTTGTTGTTATATTGTATAAATGATGACGTACATTGTCTTAGGACATTAATTGCTTGCTCTTACTTAACCAGGAGTTCAAGTGGTCGTCTTCCTGCTCATTTTTCCTAATTGATTACTGTGAAATGTGTGGTAATATGTTGCTGTCGTATTTATTTGATATAGAGCTCGGCCTGATAAAATGATTTCCTTTAGAATACATTTCTAAATTTGATTTGATTTTAGAAATTAAATCAAATTTAGATTTGATATTGAGCGCGAATTTTCTAATCTACCAAAATTTAATTATTGGAGAAAGAATACATTAATACATTAAGAAAGAATAAATTTTATTATCATACATTCGAAGTGAAACCCGATGAATTGCTTTACAATTTTTTCAAGTAAAATTAGAGTTTTATTGAAATATTTTCGATCTTTAATTGTTACAGTATCTGAGTCCTTTGTTGATATTCATTTGTTCTATTTATTATCCAACAAAAGTGATAAAATTATGGAAAAATTACATTTGAAGAGTAATTACTCTTCAAATGCTCATGTGCAACTGAGTCAATTTATATTGAGGCTTCAACAGGTATTATTCAGTATTGTAAATGTGTGAGTTATTTTAAAATTAATTAAATAATAAAATAAGAATAATAAATAATAACAAAAGAAAGGAAACAAGATGGAAGAAGTATGGCAAGCAATTCTAATTAGCTTAATTACCTTAACGATTTCGATATATTTTCACCTGTCTAGGATGTATATGTATTATTGTGTTACGTATGTAGACTAATATGTGAGCATTTATTAACCGATATACTGACGAACATTTTTATGTAGAACTAACTAATTATATTTGCTAATTTTATTTTCCTTTAGTGTTATTGTATCATAAATAATTTTGAGTTTTGTTCAAATTTTCCAAATTTGATGATTAGACATTTAAATTTTTTGCCAATGAAAACAAACTCATTCATAAAAACTGAAACATTTATTTACCGATCTCTGTTTTGCTCTATCTTAACTCGGGAAAGAGAGATGTAAAAATTGCAAAATAGGTCAATCAATAAAGTTGAAGTGCTGTGAAATGAGTTCAAAAATGAAACGTCCAGATGTTTTTGTTTGGTTCTAAATTAGTTGAGCAATGAAATGGAAAGTATTTAAATGTCTAGAATCGAAAAGAGTAAAAATGTATTAAGAAGAGTACTGTATCACATATATCTGTATATCTGATTTTATATTAACAGTGATGTTTCAGTAGATATTTCAGAATATTATCGAATAAAAATAAGAAGAGCAAGTAAGGTTAAACATATATAAAGTTCGGATCATTTAAATTTTAATATATAAAAAAATTTATATATGAGTCAATAACCAATTTGAATATGTCCAATTATAAAAATAAATTACAAGATGAAAATTTCAACAATGAAACTAAACGAATTTATTCATTTAAATTTTAAATTTTCGTAAAATTTCCACCCTTATTCTTTCATTTTAGTTTCGATCTTCACAATGCCATAATATTGACCAATCAGAATCGTTAATACGTAATTTTCCTTTTAAAAAGAAAGAATAAACAGGTTTGCTCTCAAAGCTGGACAGTAGTTTGCCGTTTCTAACTGAAGTGCATTACATTTTAGTTTTAGTTTCAGTTTGATTTTATTTTGCCCAAAATGGCGTTACATTACCAATGCACTTTAGATTACAGAAACCAGAATCTATACACTGTGTGCAGTACCTGTTAAAGACATCTATTAATATGTTGATCCTAATTGTATTAAGTCAGCAGAATAAGTTGATGAGAAAATTATATCCTTTTCCGTAAGCATTTCAAGATTAAAAACTATATAAATTTGTGTAAATTATAAGCTATACATATTTAATACATATTCTTTATATGAGTTCATATATATTTTGCCAAAAAAATGAAGGTAATTTGTATTTATGCTCTTCCACGTTTTCAATCTACAGGATTTACTATTATTCATTTAGACTGATAAATAATCGATACACTGAAATTTATTAATATTTCTTTGGTCGCCAATAATATTTTTAAGCTCTTCTTTATTACTATGTGTCATATACCAATTGTAACCACATCTTCAACTCTATGCGTACCGCTGCAAAAAGCTGAAACATTCAAGAGTGTCGTGACGCATCATAGTGATGAGAAGGCGTTAGGAGTATTCGAGAGAAAAATTCTTCGGAAGATCTATGGTCCCTTATGCGTTGGCGACGAGTATCGAATTAGATGAAACGATGAGCTGTATGAACTATACCCCGACATTGACATGAGCATGAAAATTCACCTACTTCGCTGGCTTGATCATGTCGTGCGAATGGAAGAAAGTGTTCCGGCTAAGTTTTTGATTTGGTACCTGCAGGTGGAAAACGCGGTAGGGACGGTCGCACCTCCTGTGGAAGGACCAGGTGATCAATGATTTGGGGGCGTCAACTAGCGACTACCAACTGGCGACAGCAAGCAACGAATCGGGCTGGTTGCCGGAAGCTACTCCACGCGGTCAAGGACAACTGACGTCTGTAATGGCCAACTCAGTAAGTAAGTATATGACGAACTGAAGTTGATTATTTTTATTGTAATCTTTCATTTTATTATTACTGATTAAGAATTTCATATCTATGAGAAGAAATCCATTTCAAATAGAAAATTTTGAAATCCAAAAAAATATTTATGAAGTGAATCAAGTTGTTTCGGGTATTGTGAAATATATGCAAAGCTCTATAAACATATGTGTGGAGTGCAAGCGTTCTAGAGTAAATATGCAGAAATGTTTTCTACAAACAATAGTGCTGAAGTTAGACAAAAATGAATAGTTAGAGTGATTAAGTTCATTTATGAAGCTGTAGTTTAACCGTTAATTTACGAATAACTAACAAATTTTATAAAACTTTTACAAGGCCGCGGTTCAAATTTTGGCAGGGTTCAATTACGGACAGCTGCAGTTCAAAAATTGTATATAGATAATTAAACTAATAGATGCTTCCTAAGACCACTGATGAAGGGTGTATTTGAAACAGCTGTATGATCAGCGTAGAAATTAATTATGAAAGTTACAGCTATTTCAAACAATTTAATGCTGGTAAAACGGCTCAAAAGATCGCAGTAATGTGTTGGGCGATCTTTTACTTCTTGATTTTAGATTCGAATTTGTTGAAAACTCAAGAAAACTTTAAAATTATGTAAGTTCAGATGTGTACAGAAGGGTTTGCCATGCAAGAAGGAAAGGCTGCGGTTGTGTTCATTATCGCATTACGGCAATGTTTGCGGTTGAGTTTTTATGTACATTTTTTATGAAATTTTATTTTACTTCAGTTCTTGAGGTTCTTTGTTGTACTTGCGACTTCTACTTTAGTGAAATTTTAATAGTTTAAAATAGTTTCCCTCCTTTATTTTGTTTTGATCCTGTTTTCAAGTTATAATGCAGAAACAATGCAGAAACAATGGCGAATTGACAGAGTTATAAGCTGTTTGTGCATACTTAAAATGTGGTGAGGAGGATTGTCCTAATTTCGTACCATTTCCTGTGGTTTTTGCTTGTTTTTGCTCCGAGTTGCTTTCGTTATTTTTTTTTATAATATATAATTTTTATTTATTTCTTTGTAATTCTTAAACGCATAAATGCAAAATTTCACTTTATGTGTACTTTTGAGAGCTTATCGCTTTAGAAAACTCGTTGGCTAAAGTTTTCCAGAATTTCGTTAAAACAAAAAATGTCAACTTGTTGTGTGGCACAAGTACAAACATAAAATTCAATTTCCAACATGTTAAGTGTTCAAACGATAAGAAAGCCTTAAGATACATTGAAGATATTGCAAGCGTTAACTGCATATCTGCAGCAGAAGGAGCGCAGGCAAATCGAATCGAAAGCCACTGCCTCTAGAGTGCAGGCAAGCATGACAGATAAGCAGATCTAGTAGCGTGTACCCAACCAACCAGAAAGGTAACAACGTAGATAAATACATACTGAGACAGCAGACTATGCAGAGGAACCGTATCAAATTGAAAGAACTCAAATGCGAACTAAAAAATGGCACAAAATGTTTAAATATTCATTATCCTTGCAACTGCATGCATCAATTGAATTTTTCATTTTGTTGTTCTTTCTGCAATCCAACCAAACCCAACTCGACACATCCAGATATTGCATCTCAGCCCTCAACACAGCTCGTGCAGGAACCGTACAGCTCGTTCTAAAAACGTAAAGCAAACAAAGCAGCAAATTATGCCACTGAAGGAATACTTTTCTTTTTACTTTATCCTTGTTAATTTTTTAACTGTTCGTACGTATCGTTTTTGTAATTTTGGTCCTGGAGTTCTCTTCAATCCTTAACGGCAGGAATTAAAACGTTGCATTAAATTTGTTACAAATTAAGTAGAGGAAATTGGTAAGAAAAAAATTTTAATTGAAATAATGATAACATTTTGAAACTACAAAATTTTAAGTACAAATGTGTTATTCGGGAAGATTGGGAATAAAGTATGAAGAAATGTAATTAAATGAAAGTTTCTTCCTTCATGAAAGCTTCGGAGAGAAGCGAGTATGTAGTGAGTTAAATTGAAGTTGAAGTAATCAACCAAATTCAGTTAAAATTTTCTTATTTTTCATTATTTTAGGAAATTTCTTTTGTGAAGCAATGTTTAAACAGTCTATAATAGAATTTAATAAAATTCCAAAAATTATCTTTCACAGTGACAATCCACTAGTCTAAATATTTGTTTTATGCACATATCAGATATTCAATTAAAAATTTTTTTCTTTAATTATTTTATGTAAAATTAATAATTGATAATTGAAAATGGATTTGATATTAATGTGACTATTCATTTGATATTAATTTACATACTTTACATACTTCATATAAATTTAAAGATTGTTCAGTAACATAAGTTACCGTAAATATTGGACTTGAATGTTAGTCTGTAGTAGTTGACCATAGATAATATATTAAACCAATTTGTCATTTTAATTGATGTAGATAGATATGTAAGTAATACTTATATTTTCTTTCTGGAATGAAATCGCCTAGCAGCGGGTACTGCTACCAGAAGAGTTCTATTTTACAAATTTCACTATTGACTACACAAAGCCCTTTAAAGCTTTGTGTATAAGGTCCAGAACTAAATTTAGAGAAAAGCTCTTTATCAGTTCTGGTGACAGAAATTCCATATGAAATAATTTTCTTCTGTGCGTTGTTGAAGCTGAAGAGCCAGAAAGAATATGCCTAGTCCTCATCTTTGATGCATAATCTGCATTCCGAATTCATCATAACAAAATAGATTGTTCGCATTCAACAATATTTTGTTATGAGATTCATGGAGTCCATGAGGGTACTGTCATTAGAATGTAATTATTATCAAATCGTTGGCTATAATATATATATTTAATTTTAATACGATAAAAGAGTAGTAATGTTCATATACAGAAATATTTTTATTATTTACCACTGTCTTTTTGTTGGAATTTTAGTTTTGTACTTGTAAAATTTAAATTAAAAATTTGAAAATGAAGCTTAAAAAATATAAGAGAAGTACTGAAGCCAAAGTTCAATTTTTCATATACTTTGAGCAGCTAAAAGGATTATAACTATTAAATTGTGTTCACTTACCAAGTCGACTATAAATCTAGTTCGAACACCGGCACCTATCAAACGCGCATCTCATCAATTGCAGCTTGTGGCACTTGCTGCTGTAAGTGCACCCCGCTGCCACTGCTGCTTCCCCCTGCACTTACACTACCCACTCCAACATTGCCACCATTAGCAGATGTTGTTGTTGTCATGCCAATATTCTCTGACGGCACATGTGCGTGTGCATGTGAATGGTGATGGGAATGTCCTTTAGTTGATGGTGCACTACTGACACCGCTACTGCTACTACCATTTGATGGTGTTTGATCAAGTAGGATGCCAACGCCACTGCAACCTGTTGGAGTTGACGAGGCAGTACGCACTGGAGGACGTGGTGCACGTATGTGATGTTGCATGCCAGAGAGGCCAGTCATAATATTGCCATTTGGCTGATGTTTACTTTGTTGCTGTTGTGGCTGATATTGTTGTTGTTGCTGTTGTGCATCTGAAAGTGAAAAAACAAGACTGTTAATACGAAAAAGCGCTTTAAGTCGATTGCACTTCAATGCAACATATACGATAAACAGCTTGTTAAACCAGCAAAGATCCTGTTGCATATATGTATGCACATTTAAATTCTAAGAATATGCAAATGTTACTATGTATGCAAATTGCATTTGCCATTTAACACTTCTGCGCCACTACACACTACTTGCACTTTATGAGATGCTTTTATGTGTTTTAAATGTTGCAATGGTGCAATGTTCTCGTTAGTGACTATTTTGTGTTTTTGAAAAGTATTGTGATACTCTCTCATTTTTTGGAAGATCTGAAGATAATCATACTAAAAACTCCTACCTAATATATTTCTCCTATTACGTAAATAAGTGGAATACCGCCGGTATATGGGTTTCATAAAAAAATTTTAAAGACTGGAAAATAAATGATTTATTCTAAAACCTTTTGAAATTGACCTTTGATGATATATGAAAACTTCAGGAGGTCTTAATTAGAGATTAAGTTGAGACAATAAAAGTCAGTTGATCATTCTTTAAGTGTTTAAGCTATTTTAATAGATTATAAATAATATTATATAAATAATTCTAATAATAACAATTATTATTTTATGCTTCCTATACGCGGGTGGTTTCTTTAGTGAATAAAATTTTCTGTAAATAGAATCAACAAAAAGTTTCTTTGGTGTCGTTTTTTTACTATTGACATAGTC